GCTTTGCTAAACACGCATCAAGGGTATCATAAAATGCTCTAACTTCATTAAGCTCAAGCATCCAAGATGGGGGGGGCTGGACTCTAAACGCTTTTGGTGTAAACGTAGCATTATAATTACATTTTGCAGATGACATGACACAGCAAAAGCAATATGCTCAGAGTCCAACTTCAATCAATAGACAATGCAGGTTCTTAGTTCGAAAAAAAATCAAAGTTAGATGTTTTAAGCATATATAAGCTATTGAAAAAATGAAATAAGGGGATGCAAAAAGATCCAGGGAGCCTTTAAAATGAGATATATTTCACAAAACATCTTGGAAACACTTTCTTTCCATCACAGGTCACAGGATCTGCAGCTGGACCTCAACGCTTTGTAAAAACATGAAGAAGAAAACTGGAAGTGGTTTGAGGATGATGGCGTCCACTAGAGCCGTGGCTGAAATGTGGTTATATCCAGTGTTTGGACTAACGTATTATTAAGTAACGTGTTACCAGAACAACTATGGCTGTTAATAATGACTGTACTTTTTTGGAAAAGTAATTCATAAGTATAACCAGTTACTTTTTTAAGTTAGTTGCTCAACACTGGTTATATCTTGTGTTTACATCTGCCACTGCCATGTATTTTTTATCACTTGAACAAATGTCTTCATGTGCAATGTACACATGACTGTGTACAAGATAAGTAAGGAAACAAGGAAAAGTTAAAAACAGATTTTAATTACATTTTTACTAAAGGTACACCTCAGTCCAAGGAACAATCAATTACATTTTGGTGATGATCCACATCATAATCCGGATGCAGAATTTTTTTAAAGGATTCTTAAATAATATTTGGGGAACACATAGTTCCCCCCTAAACCAGAGGGTGGCAGCAGTGACTGTTGACAGCTCTATTATCGGATTCGAAAATGTCCAGAATTATTATACTCAAGACAAAAACACGGGAAAAGGCTTGAAGTGTCGATCTGCTAAACAAAAAAACAAAGTGAGAGCAGAACAAACACCAGAGGCTGCAGAAACACTCTGTGCCTTATTTATAAACTTATAATAAACTTATATAAGGGAATTGTTACCAAAGTGCACCTCTTGCCAAAGACTAATTCATTAAAATTTGGTAATGATCCAGATGATGTGCAGGATTTAACCCCAGGTGAAAATTACAATATGGGGCTAAATGTGCTGCTTGGCGGAGGTCTGCGTTCTCTGAGTGCTTTTCTAGGTGTATCGGTTAGTTCATGGAAATAGGTATTTTACGCATAACATCAACAGAGTTTTGCACATATTTGTAATGGGAAACACAACTTCTTTCATGGAAAACCGTGGAGTTGTTCTGTGAAGTTCATTCTTGCAGTGTTTTTGCAGGGCAACCAGGTGCACAAACCTCTGCCTCACACTAATGAGCACAAAAGAACCCAAAAAAAAAACATGGTGTGTTGAGATCCTGCTGTCCTTCACCATATTCATCCAACTTCATCCCAAAACCACCCATATTTTTTAGTCACCCCTCTCTACTATCAGAAACATTAGACGTTTATTTTGGCCCCTCCTAGAGGAACTGGGCGGCCGTTCAATGGGATCTGGGTCAGGTCCTGGCTGTAGATCAAATAAAGGGCAGCTGTGTGACCCGCTCTCCTAGTCAAAACACCATCCTGCTCTCATGTAAGCTTTTTTTTTTCTTTTTTTTTTGCTGTTTGTGTTAAAAAGGCACAAACGAAATGGCTGAGGGAGAGTGGAGTGGGAGCGGGATGTCCAAAGTGACCTGCACAGCAGCCTGCTGCTGCAGACGGCTCACATTTTCATGTTTAACAGCAAGTTGTAACGTAAAGGTGAGAGACGGTCACTGGTTCAAGCAGGGTTGCTGATCTAATAATAATAACAATAATAACAACACTGTTAAACACTGACCTATTTTACCTGCAATAACAAACACTCACCCACTGCCTACGTGTGTGACTCAGCTCCACTACCTGCCATGTTAGTATACTTGTAATTTATTCTACCCCAGCGCTAAAAACACACAAAAAAATTTACCAAAGCTTCATCATAAAAGTCTAAATTTCAGGAAAAAAGAACCCAGGAATCCAAGATTTTTGCAAATATGAACAGAAGATGACTTGCTATGTTTTCCAAATTGAACCAATTATTTAAGAGTGTACCAATTTCAAAATCTGGGCTGATATCCATATCGGAAATATATAAACCACATCTTTCTGGTATGCCTTTGAAGCAGGTGTTGATAATAAACAAGAAACATTGTGGAAAAATGGGGGGTTATTAAAAGGTTATTAATAGAATGGCTGATAATAAGCGTGTGATATCCTGGTATTGGTGGGACAGGAAGTGAAAAGTCTGGGCACAAATCACCAGACTGAGACACAGTGCACTGAGCAGTTGAGCAATATCTTGAGGCACATAATTGACACTGAGTTTGAGAAATTAAGTATATATATTAACTTGAATTATTCGAGGGGTTATTTCAGTCCAAGCTAACATCCATATTAATGTGGATATTTTGTCCAAAAACTTAGATTAACTCTTTCAACATCTGAGATTGTCAATTAATGCAAGAATGGGTTAAAAAACTGAAATAAACGACTGTCTTCAGTCAGAGGCTTTTCCAAAGCCGCTGTAAGACAGACCACTACAGGGGATCCTACCTACATCCATCAGCTTCTATGGAAAATTTCTATTTGAAGTTTTAATCAAATTAATTATTTAGCAAATAGATGGAAGAATTAGTGATATTAATAAGTTTTTATAAAGCTCCCTATTGCATTGGACACGTTTAGCTCTGCTACTATCAGCAAGTCTGAGGCTGCCTTTGCTGTCGGGTTAAAACCTGTTTTTAATGACGAAGTAAACTTTATATTGAAATAATAATAATTTCACTTTATTGATCCAACATTGGAGAAATTAACCTCTGCATTTAAACGCAGGCCGCCACTCCGCCAACAATCATTATCTTTAACTGATTTATTTAATTTTTGTTAGTAAATTAGCTCAGGATTATTGGGAAAATGTTGTTCCCTGTTTCATATATTTCTAAATGGGTGCATTTTTCTAAATTAACTAAAATAAGCCTCAATAAATTTAAGCACATATAAACCCAATGAACTAAACTGGAAAAGATGGGTAAATAATTTTATTAGCTTGTGCATTTATTCTCCATCACTGTTTCCAATGGTGGAAAATGTTTAGATTTCAAACACGCAGGGGCAGAACTATTAAAAAGCTCTTTCAATCATTTCTTTTTCTGAAAGTTGCATAGAAATGCTAAATAAACTACTTTTTTCTGTAATTCTGGGCCACAACTTTTCACCTTAGAGGACAAATTTATCCAAATTTTAAGCCCCAAAACGCAGTTAAACCAGCTTAATCTGAGTTTTGGGATTAAATGAAAATGCATTTCCTGTTTAATCAAACACACATGAATCGAAAAATACACCTTCTTCTATGCAAGAAAGGGTTAAAAATTTACGGAAGAGGATTAGGGCCACTTAAGAAAAAAATAACGTTAACTGATTTTTACATATTATTTCAGTGTAATACGGGAAAAAAGTCAGAATTCTGACTTTTTTCCCAGAATTCTGACTCTTTTTTTTAACCAGAATTCTGACTTTAATCTCATAATTCTGATTTTTTTTTTCTCATAATTTTGTTTATACTAGAATTCTGACTTTAATCTCAGAATTGTGACTTTTTTTTACCAGAAATCTGACTTAAATCTCAGAATTCTGAATTTTTCTCAGAATTCTCACTGTTATACTAGAATTCTGACTTTAATCTTAAAATAATTACTGTTTTTTTCCAGAATTCTGACTTTAATCTCAGAATTCTGACTTTTTCTTTTTTTTTTACTAGAATTCTAACTTTAATCTCAAAATTCTGACTTTTTTTTCTCATAATTCTGACTTTAATCTCAGAATTTTGGATCTTAATGTAGATTCTGACTCAAAATTCTGACTTTTTTCTCAGAATTCTGACTTTAATCTCAGAATTGTGGATCTTAATGTAGATGGGCAGCATGAAGGGAGAGATGTGGAAGCACTCACATTGGGGTCCCCTGAGGGGTCCCCGGTGATGCTATTTCATTAATGGAGGAGCAGAAGGTGATCATAACAAGAGAGCTAGTCTCTAAAACAGACATGGCTTACAGCTTGATGCTAACATGTTTGTTAGCTGTCAGAATTCTGAGAAAAAAGTAAGAAATTCTGACTTTTTCTCATATTATGCTGAAATAACATTTAAAAATCAGTTAACTTTTTTTTTTCCAGTGGCCCTAATCCTGTTCTGTAAAAATGACCTGCTTTAAGCTACAAAAAAACAAACAAAGCAGGCAGCTTTGTGTCTGCAGGCGGTTAAAGGATCGCTGCACACCGTCTATAACTCCTGTGACCTGTGGAGGATGTTTGCTGTCTGAACTGTTTTCAGTTAGAGCTCAGCTAGCTAGCTAGGCTAACCCTTAGCTAGCCAACTTTAAATGGGAAACCGTCTGTCTGTCAGGCAGCGCGCGGCCACACTCGGCAGATCACACATGCCTTTAAACGTCTGGAAATGGAAAAGAAATCACGCGCTCCTTCTTTTATAGCCTCACTTTTTTTCTGTCGCCAACTTCTCGTTAAGCACAAAAGTGACATAATAGGCAGAGAAGCACCGTTGCAGCGCAGCGTAACCCCCGGGAGCCCTGTTATGTCTGCTGGAGGTGCTTACTGGCGACAATCGGAGGGCTCAGACTATTTCCAAGAACAATAATACCAGAATACAGCGCTTTTTTAGCTCTGACTCGTTTAATATCAAATTTAACCCTGATTTTCTTTAAATAAAATGCATAATTAAATGTATCTGTCTTATTGAATGTGTTACAAGGGGAGGGGAAAAGCCAACTCCATGGCCCATGGGAACTGCTCTCCTCCAGAGATTACACCGACCCTCTCTGGCTAAATGTGTGGGAATATATTTAGGGGTTTAAAAGGGGAAAAAGCTGATGTTGGCTACCTGTTAGTCTCAGTTTGACGGGGCCATTCCTCCGGACTCCTTGGTTAGACATTTCTTGATCTTGATCAGCGCCTGCTGAAAACGTGTGGTTGGATGTAGAAAAATAATAACAAAAAAGGGTTTAATTAAGTTCTCCGCCAGTTTTAGTCAGTGATCGATTCAAAGCATTGCAGCCCGGGTGTGGACGGAACTTCCATAGATGCCAAAAAAAAATTTAAAATAAAAAGTGAAAATGATAGATTTCGTTATCTTTGAAAAAAGAAAAATGTGTCCAGCGGTGGTGAGATGAGTAAACGGGCTGCAGAGGATGGCGGTGACTGGCCCGGGCTCCTCTCAGCTCCTCCGCGGCTGAAGTGCGGAGCCTCCGGGGGTAGATCCCGCTTCCCGAGCTGACCGGTGACGACAGCACTCTCTGGGGGAGACAGACTTTTCTCCAGCATGTGGCCCAGAGCCCGGACTCACACACCCACAGGGCCGGTGTGTGTGCTGCGCTTCATGGGGCGGGGTAAAAGTCTAGCTTCAAAGAAAACTCAAAAAAATATATATATTAATAAAAAATTAATCACATTTTTGTTTTACAAATGAAAAGTGACGTGGATAAGTCTTAAACAAAATTCAGATAGAGGTCACATTAATGGTATAAAAGAGTGGAATTTAATCGCAGCTTCTGAACAGTGGCGGTTCTACATCAAATTACTAAGGGGGCAGGGTGGGGCCCTGTCAGGCAGCGCGCTGCCATACTCGGCAGATCACACATGCCTTTAAACGTCTGGAAATGGAAAAGAAATCACCTTTTTTCACAAAAATGACATAATAGGCAGAGAAGCACCGTTGCATCGCAGCGCAACCCGGGAGCCCTGTTATGTCTGCATGGGTCTGACTTATCCCCTTTTAATCCTGGCCGGGCTGCTCGGTGTTGCAGTGGGTAGCACTGCTGCCTTGCAGCAACAATGTTCCGGGTTCAATTCCATGGAGTTTGCATGTTCTCTTCGGGTACTCAAAGCTTCCTCCCACAGTCCAAAAATGACTGTTAGGTTAATTGGCTGCTCTAAATTGTCCTGTCCAGGTTGTACCCCTCCTCTCGCCAATAGACGACTGGAAATAGGCACCAGCACCCTTCACGACTCCACTTGGGATAAGGTTGACAAAAAAAAGGATGCGCGGCATGGACGTAATTTTGAGGGAGGACATGTCCCCCACACTTTTTCAAACATCCGTTTTGGTCCCCAGCACTTTTTACTGCCCAAAAACAATGTTACGCTACAGTACACTGGTATCCGTTGAGCACTAGGACCAAGCAGAAAACAGAAGCTCAAGCTGAAGCCCGCTTCCCTGAGTTTGGACCGCCCACAAGCTCCTGATTGGCCCACTGTCTTTTTCTCATGTGATTGGCTACCACCGCTGTCACTTAATGAGAAACTAACTTTACAAACATCTTTGGATAGTTAAACACGCTGAAGTTAGTTATATTAAAAAATACTTTAAAAATACTTGCACCCTCCCCTCTCTGAAATCTAAATTTCCTTTGTGCCATATGGACCCGTAAATAATGATGATTATTTATTTAAAACAAAACATTATTATTATCAATATTAAGAAAAATAATATGGTCATTATTAATGAATTATTAGTTATAATAATAACAGAGGCGGTAAAGAACAGAGCCTCACACTCACTGCGTTCACAGATTAAGCGCTGTAAACTGGCCAAAGTAAGAAGGTTTGCCTTGTTACTTAAAAAATTACTGTTACCTGGATATTCTTGATTCAATTAATTTTTTTAAGATGTAGAGTTAATAAATAAAATAATTAATAAGTTTCATTCATACTGTAATTATATGAAAACTGCATTTTGTTCATTTATACCCGCGCCCGTATCCATGTAATTATATCGGGTGATTTTTCTACCCATAAATGTACATTTTATACCCAGCACCGGGTCAGTTACCCGCAGGTACCCGACCTGGTGCAGGACTTTGGACCAGTCCCCTAATGATCTTATAGGCCTAGTGACTGATAGCTCCATTGGACGTATTTCATTTTTTAGATACAACTCTGTTTTGATCATGATTTTGAAATTAAAGTGATAGCTTCAGTCGTACTGAGATATGATCATAGTTTTCATCTACTAAATGCTATTTTGAACCAGATAAAAAAATCACACTTGTTACATTTATTTCTAAAACTGTTTAGCTTAATTCAAAATAAGTCAAAAATGTGTTATATTCTTGATTAACGTATTTATGTAGACATAATTCTAAAGAACAGCTTTATTTGATCTTTTAAATGGTTCTTTTATCACAGCTACTTATTTCAGTTACTTCCCAGGGAATTTTTGATTTTAAGTAAAGTAAAATTAAGATTTCACGCCAAAAATACAGTTTTTCAAATGGAACAACATATAATTTTAATTAAACAAAATTACACATTTCACTTAATTTAGTGCATTTAGCTCTTTTGTTCCACGTCTTTTTATTATAAATCTTAATTGATAAATTCTTCTTTTTGTTTTATGCTTTTCTTTGCCCCCATGAAAACATGCTACACTGCCCAGGGCCCCCCTTAGAAAGTATTGTCTAGAGCCGCCACTGGGGGCCAGTGATTATTCATGGAGGCACCGAACATAAAGAAACAACAAAAAAAGGGGCAATAGTTCTTCATTAAAGGTCATAGCTACAAGTTCTTCATCAAATATGTCAGACATGTCTCTGTTCCAGCACACCTGCTTCCAATTAGGGCTCCTCCTTTGCAATCAAGTGCTTCAGAGGTCTGTTAATCATCCATTATTTTTTGGTGTGATGCAACAAGGGAACATCTAAAACATCCAGGGCCGGAGCCCCTGAGGAAATGGGCTAGGAACCACTGGGATACACCAACAGACGCAGTAGGTTGAAGACATGTGAGTCGGAGTTCAGCAATGCCAGATCATAATGGCTCTGTGATAAAGCTGAAAAACTGCTTCTTAGCTCTATATTCATCCGATTTATCCTCTGTTGATGCTATTGGGGATGCTTTTCTTTAAGTCTATGAAGATAAATAGATCTATATTTAGAATAACACTTAAAGAAATCTTATTTTCAAAAAGTCTTGAGATCAGCGTAGGGTAGGGCCGGACCAGATGAACTTAAAATCTTATCACGATACTTGGGAACTATTGTTGTCATGAAGTGAGGATAAAAAAAATAACTTCTTAACAGTCATTCTTGGGTAACTGTATAGATCTGACTGAATGCCAAAGTAATCATGGCCACTCAATCTGAAATACTGCTCTGGAAAAATTATCAAATACACGTTTGAAATGAAGCTAAAGCAAAATTTTCAGTCTGGGAGACTCTTATCAGCTTCACCTGAAAAACCTATGATGTCCCTCGTTCAGCTCCAGCCAATCAACTCAGGGCCGCACCTTCTCCGAAGCCAGTCCTCTTTCAAGGTCTACTTTATTTAGCTCAGCCTAGTTTCCCTCTCCTGCAAGCAAGCGAACTTTCACTGGAGGATTCTTCCTGTTAAAAGTTAGTTTTTCTCCCCACTTTCGCTTCATGCGTGCTCTGTGTCAGGGCAGAGAGTGAAAGAGCCCTCCAATCAGATGGTTTTCTTTAGATAGAAATATGTTGAAGAATATGACTGTTACCTGTGTAAATACATTGAACACTTTTCTAATTGCAGCCTTTCACTCTGTGAGTCTCAGCAGTTGTATAAACAAGTGTGTTTTAAATCACTATACAATAATCGTATTCAATCACATTCTTCAAACTTGTCAATCCCCAAATGGGGGGGAAAAAAGAGGATACAAATTTTAAAAATGGACATTATTAAAAACATAATTAATTCTAAAAACCCTGAACATGACAGAAAACTTTCTTTTCACGCAGCATTAGTCAAAAATGTAAATCATTAAATTGTATAATTTTCTGACGGCTCAATAATACACTATGCATGTGCTTTTTGATAAAAACAGTTGGATTTTTGTTGAAAAGTGTAGCATTATTCATTAAAGAAGCATTCATCTCCCTCACCTGGATATGCTGGTAGGATACCAGGTAGGATTTGAGTTGTTATTGAATTTTACCCAAGAAATTATTTTAACGGCAGCAAATCGCCAATTGGCTGCACATTTTACGCCACTAACACAGATCCTGGGCTGCTTTAAAAGGTTTATATCAAATCGTGTTAATGTGTTCTACTTATCTAATCAAAGTCCAAACTAAAATCCAATTAGGAATGTGTCCTGAAAATCAATGTATTTACAGATCTTCTCCACCCTATCATACTGCTCTATAGGGGTAGTTACATCCCTAAATACTCACAGCTGTAATTATGAGATATAATATGAGATATAACAATAAATATGTGTTTAAGGTAAGGTAAACATAAAATTAATTTACTTTGAGATTATTGACTAAAATGTAAAAATAAAACAAAAAACAAAGTTAGATCCTGTTCTTTCTACACCTCAAATATCCAGGGTCTTGCGACCCCTAGTGGTTAGATTTGGTATATACCTTCATTGCAACAATAAATTGCTGACACATAGCTTTATTTTTTTAGAGCCATCTAACCTCTCTGCTCTCTCTCCGGCAGGTATCCTGCTCTTTTGTCTCATTTTTTATTACCAAACCATTTTTTCAAATACCTTCTCCATCTGTTAACACTTCGTATTGGTTATAACTTAAGTACAATTTTGAAATATATACGTTTGATCACTAAACATTGATATATCCCCCTTTTTTAATGGTCTTTTAGCCAGGTTGTAACAAATAAAAAACCCTAGATATGTACTACTATGATTTTTCACATATTATCCCAATGTGGCTCTCTATCGTGCTGCAAATTGTGAATATGCATTCTACGTATATAGTCTGTTCTATCACTGCATTTTATTTTATGTATTTTCTTCATTTTAGCATATCATATTGTATAGAAACAAAAGTTTTGTAGTTTTTTATTCTTTGAACATGTTTTAACAATTTATTCATTGCAGACATTTGATAGTGATACATTTTAGCTTTTTTTCATTTTTGTTTTACCAGAGGTGGCAATAAATAAGGTGCTGTAGCACAGCAGCAAAAGATTATAGAAGAAATGGTCACACAAATGAGGACCTTACAAAAGTGTATAAGAATAACAAAATAGTGAAAAGTAAAAAAATTAAAAACTGTACTTGTTAGTGTTTTAACAATATAAAACTGCCCCTGGAGA